TTATACACAAAAATCATAAATACAAGAAATGGTGTTCTAAGCAAGATCGTTCAGAATTACAAATGTTAATGAGCGCCTTCTCTTGGTGAATATAGTTCGATTCGCCAGCACCACAGTTAGAACAAATATCAAATTATCACAAAAAGTTACGATACAGTCTCCTTAAAAACTCGCTTTGTCCTTAACTGAAGTCGTTCTTAATTTAGCCCAAATCGGCGACCCTTGCTCGTGCACTATGCGTATTAGTTTATCAATAACAAAAGAAAAAAATAGCTAGTACATTCTATTTTTGATTTCTATTGAAATTCTTCAGTTCTAGATTCGCAGGAAACTTTTAGTTCAACTAAAATCTAACGTCCTCTACAAATTGCAGCAATAGTACTAAATTTAAAAACTTTCTCCGATCAAAAACTTACATCCTCTACAAATTGCAGTAACTATGTGAATCTTAAAAAGTTTTTATTATCAAAATACTAACGACCTCTACAAATTGCAGCATGCTTAGTAAGAAAAATAAATTTTTATAAAAATCTTTTAAAACAATTCACTTTCAATGTTCATTCGCAGTAACCAAATTTTTAAAAGTTGAATATATAAATTTTAATCGTTTTACAAAAAATCAATAAAACCATCAGATTTAAATTAAACAAAATTTTAAAAATTTTAATTCACTTAAAATTTATCTTTTTCATGTTCGCAAATGAGAGGTAGCCCACCCCACATCCGCACACCCATACCTCGCTGCATCTTCTAGTATATTTTGTTTTTTTAAATACAGTGTATTAAGTAGTGAAAAACTGAAATGGAAAAAGGAACTTTCTTTCTTCGGGAGAGTTTGGTAATATGATTATTTGATATCAAGTCTAGTGGTTCTAATTTGTTATAAAAGAAGGATTTTTGTAGTTTTAATTCTGTTGATAACACCTAATGCACATAGCACAGATGACTACATATTCTATAGACAGATCAAAGTTCAATAGAAAAATTTTGTGTCATCACAATTCCTACACACACTTCTCTTCTATAAAGACAAAAAGGTAAACGTTTTCAAGCGGAAGAATTTTCTAAATTATTTACTTTACTTGGAAAAGAAAGGAAACTACAATCTTACTAATGAGCTTGCACGAAGAAATGAAATTAAACTTGTTTTTCTAAAGAAACTATAGAGTACGTAAAAATGTTTTTCCACATGAGTGACGTTGTGATTTCAAACAGTATCCATAACAAATTTTATACCAAATTAAATCTCGCACTCTCACACTAGATCACTCTAATAGACAACATCTACAAAATTAGTAAACTGAACTAATATGAAAATCATGAGATCTGAATAAGTCAATAACGAAGAAAGAGTTCATTTAAATCCATAGATTACTTTTCCCAATCAGATGTGAGTTTTAATGCAAGAATTTGTACGCTTTGTAATGTGAACTATTCCATCAATTTTCATTATTTTATATACAAGTCATGTCAAGCTTTACAGAATAGTAAATAAAAGTAAGATTGAAAGACTACAATCGATAACACAAAATAATAAATAGAGTCTCAGTTAGTTTGTAGAAAAAGAAAAAATTAAGATTATATCTCTTCTTAACAGTTTAATCATTTTTTTTTGGATATAACCACTTTTAGAAATACTCTGTTGTGATAACAGTTCCATTCGTATATTCTCTAACATATGTTTTAGGTACTGGAGAAATCAGTGTTGATCTCAAAATATGATTTACTATCTCTGTAGGTTGCGATACACGTGATAATTTAGGTTGAACGTCGATAATGTTATTGACAGTTGAACGCACACATCTCACTTTAAAGCCATGTTTGATCCAATGAAAGAGTGCATAAGCTAAAACAACAATAAAATCAATCATTGGCACCAGAAATGAGATACGAGTAGAATGTGCATCAGCTATAACACATTGAATTGGAGGAAAGACAGCATCACTGGAGACTCCCATAATAAGAATACCAGCTCCACGACGAGTATGACGACCGAGATTAGCTGTTCCCATAGCAAATATAGTTGGAAACATAAGTGATTCAAAGAAATATATTGACATAAGAACAATGACAGCAGAACGACCATAACCAATAGATACGTAAATTGTAAGGGCAATACTAATTGTAGAATATATGAGGAGAATAAAATCAGCTTGAAAGAAATGAGATAGTACAGTACCAAGAAAGCGGCCAACAGTGAATGTAATGAGAGCATAGGATAAAAGTTTTGATGCTTGAGAATCCGTAAAATCAGCATTTTCAGTAGCATAGTTGATAAAAAAGGAGGCAATTGGGACCTAAATAATAATATTGTTTTCAACACATGAATATACAACAGATTTATTTGGTTGAGCATCAATACTAACATGTATCTTGATATTCTCATCTCTTAGATATATTTTATTACCTGAGCACCAACATAGCAAAATTGTGCTATAAATCCAAAAATCATGTTATATTGTTTTCACAATGGTTTAATTTGATCATTGGTTTGATCTGTGGCGTCAGTAGGATCTTCATCATCTGTAACAATTTCGGGTAATTTTGAGAAGAGAAAAATAATAGCCAGTAACACTACACTACAAGCAACAGCTATATAGACGTATTTGACGTTACCAAGATTAGTAGCATGTTCAGCGGAGAAGAATAGTTTAGAGGCAATGAGTGGACCGATAAATGATGCTACTCCATTCCATGATGCACAAAATTGTAAACGTATAGCAGCCAATTGTGGATCACCAATAACCGCAGTGTACGAATTCGCTGCCGTTTCTAATGTACCAAGACCACAAGAAATGGCAAATGTGCAAACGATAAATCCTCCAAAAGCTTGTTTCCCTTTAGTTGGATTAGAAAAATGAGCAGTTGGCCAGAAAAAAATAGCAGCTAAGGCGAACAGTGCCAAACCTATGATAATTGTAATCTTGTAACCTTTACGTTTGAGCGATTCGGCAGCAATCGGTGAGAAGCAAAAGTAACCACCACCAAAATAGACAATTTGTAATCCAGTCGATTCAAGCTTTGTAATTTTGAGTACATTTTGAAAATGTTTATTTAAGACATCGAGAAGACCATATGAGAAACCCCAAAGAAAGAACAATGAACTGGCTAGACCCAGAGGAAAAATAAGCTGACGACCTTTAAGATATTTGCGATTGGATGCAGATGGTAGAATGATTGCGCCTCCAGCCATTTCAAATAAATATTAATCCTATTAATTATTTCGACTCACTAAACAAAATAAAATAAATTGTCTATAGATAAAAATCAAAGCATCTAATTATGGTATAGTATGGTACGGAGCAGAAGATATTTGTGACGAAATAAATACAAAGAAGTAAGGATATGATGTATTCTCAGTAAATTCACTCGATTCTTTAAATACGTTAACCTAACGATATAGATGTGTATATAACATACTTAGTTTTACATTTCGAAGCAATCTGTTGATAATACCACACACACATAATATTTCGAAACCTTTTTCTTTAGCCTTTCTTTATCAACATATTTTATCGAATGTATTTTGTAATAATGACATTAATCATATCCTTTCATTTTTGATAAGAAGTTGTTGTATGTATTTGTATATATATATATATTCTTTTGTTTAAAGTTTCTGAACTTTCATCATCTATTTGAGTTGTCAAATTAATAATACTTCTTTGTCGATTGATTCTTATATAAGAGTAAAGAAAATCAATATCATGATTGAAGTATTTTAGCAGAATGATCATCAATAACTGAGATAGATTGATTAGATGAATATTTTTATGTTACTAATGTTTTGAAAAATTTGGAAGGTGAAAAAAGAAGTAGTGTACAAATGAAGGTTTTATTGGTTATGTTCAATAATGGAACATCATACTCAACAGATGATGCAAAAGTTTTTGCATAAGTGTTGGTTTATTTTTCATTGACTAAAACATGTCTGGATAAAGTCGAAAGCGTTTGTGCAGAATCATCGTCGAAAGCTCTTTCTAAATGTATACTCAAAAAAGTTTTATCCTGTCTTTCCATTCAGTAGAATGTACATCTTTAAATAGAACTAAAATGTGATCTGTAAAAACAGCTCAAAGTAGTTGACATAGGAAAAATATATCTTTCAGTATTTTTTTTTATATTGTTCAAAGCGATCGATCGTATAATGGTGCTCTTTTTTCGATTAGATACGCTGTTCAATTCTCTACAAACTTAATGGAAAACCATTACGGTATTACGTTAGATGGTATGATCAACAATTTAACAAACAACAGTGTAAGACAAAACGTTAAATCTGAATATGAAAATCATGATGAGCCAATACAATTTTTCGACACTCGAATGGCGCCATTTTCGATAAAACTAGCTGAATCAATGGCTACAAATGGTCCGAGATACTCGCTCTATGAATATGTCTGAGTCAGTCACTAGAAATGACAAAGTCAAACAGCAAGCAAAACGATACCAACACAAGGAGGAAACAGTTGACTTTTTTTTATTTAAATCAAAAAAATCAAAAAACCAATCAAAATTTCAACCGTATCAATTGATGAATCAAAATTATAAGTTTTTAATCCTTTTTTTTTTGAAAATGTTATTTATTTCATCACAATATTCAACTGGATTAAGTGTTTTGATTGCAATACTTCAGAGCGTCTTCAAGTATGACAAATCATTTGATAGATCCATGAAGCTTTTCTAAAGATGTGAATACGCCATTAACATTTCTGTTTCTCGGTTTTCTTTTATACCCAGACCAAAAATAGATGGAAAAATTTAGAAGTTCAGTGGTATTATAAAGTCCAAAGAGATATAATTGTTTTTGTCGAAAAAAAACAAAAATAAGGTCTCACTGAATGTGCTATTTTTTTCACAAATGTGTATACATATATAGATTTTGTTTGCTACATTCATCTGGCTAAAGAAAGGAAAGCCTGTTATCAACACTAGTTCCATTTCTGATGATATTTTTTCATATGAAGATAAGCAATTTTATAATTTATTCAGAGAATATGCACAATAAAAATCAAAAAGATTTACTCGCATCTGAAGAAGTCAGTTGTGTCCATATTTCTTTGAGTTGTAGCAGTTTTCGTGATATTCTGAAATCAGATTCAACTAGTTTACTTTCTTTCAAGTAGTCTCATGATATTAGGCTTTATAACAACACTTATACTGTTAATCATGAAGTAGAGGCTCATTTGCTTATTTGATTGCGCTTTTAGTGAAGAGAGATGGGGTATCAATATGCAAAGTTTTTGTAGCTGAGACGCGGTTAGAATGAAACCTTTACCGCTTCGAAATACGTTTCTCGTATAAAAAGTTCTATAAACGTACTTGAACGAACTTTGAAACGCATTCTGAAATGCGCTTTCTCGGGTTCACTCACATTGAAACACATGGGTGTGGGTGTGGATGTTAATCTTCTCTTTGTTCGCATGCACGTCCATATCCACACCCACACTCATCACTGTGATCTTCTCTTGGGCTACAAGCATTTAAAAATACCCGAAACAATGTATAAATGAAGAAAAACGGAAGAATAAGCACCCTGCTCACTGTCTACCAAGCGTTGCCTGAGAAAATCGTGACGATATATGATATCTTCCATTAAGAAAAACATTGGCAACATGGCTGTCGTCTGTATATGCTTTACTATTGACGGCAACTTGTGACAATCTATATTCTCTAAGTCGCATAGAACCCATCCATTTCAATCGTATACATTTTTGAATATTCGCCAATTTTTTCTTCATCTTATCTGTTTCACATTTCACTCATTATAACTTGTGAGACAGATTAAATGCCCGCGTTTTATATTTCAATTTTCAATCATTTTGATACGTTTTATTAAACTTTAGTTTTCAAAGTGGACAAAATTCTATGTGACCAATTTTCTATGCTGCGAACGAAGTTAATTCTTGATATGTAACAAATTTTTTTGTTATTTCTTCTGTTATAGGATTATGTGAAAGATCATAATTAACGACCAGTTTTAGGCTAATCAATATATGTTCCAATTACAATAATATGCAATGGAATAAAGTTAGAAGCTATGATTCATGAATTGGTCACATAGAATTTTGTCCATTTTAAAAACAAAAGATGCATATATAAAACAAGCTTTGTATTATAGACTGTAGAGCTTTTCATGCTACACCTTGTGATATATTTTGTTTTGTAATAAAACATACTAGATGATGAAAAAATAAAATACAAAATGCAACCATTTATTCTGATTAACCCATTACCTGACTCATGGATCCCTATACGATGAGGTATATACTAGGTAAATTAAAGCATTTATAATGGTGTTTGATAAATCATGGAATTACAGAAAGAAAAGTATGGCGATCAATAATGGTCATTTCAAGTTTATGATATTTGTTCATCTCGACGTTGCAAACGTACAATCATATTTTTTGGTGCAATAACTTTCATTTCTTCGAGTTCTTCAATAGATTGGCGCGTTTGTTCACCACAATCGATAATCGAATAGATTTTAAGAAGTCGAACTAGTACTATTTTCATTTCCATTAGTGCAAATCGCATTCCAACACAGTTTCGCGGTCCAGCACCGAATGGAACCCATGCAAGTGGATGCCGCTTGGTAGTAAATCGTTCTGGATAGAATGTATGTGGATCGACTGGACCCCAAAGATCAGGATTGAAGTGCAAACTGTATTGATTCGCAGTAATACTAGTACCAATCGGAATAACGCCTACACCATCGATATGAAACTCTTTCGTATTCTGTCGAGTGACGGCATTCGGTGCAATTGGATACATACGGAGAGTTTCTCGAATAAACATATCTAAGTAGTCCATTTCCGAAATCTTTTCATAATTTGGCATATCATCTTCAGTAATCGAATCGAAATGAGCATCGATATGTGCTTGTAATTTACTCTGTTCATTGGGATGAGTGGCAAGAACATACGACACATAGGCAAGTGCCGTACTTGTCGTTTCATAGCCAGCAATCACTTGTAATTGAAAATATGGTACAAAAGAAAAAAATCGAGATGACAGTAAATTTACTCACTGAAGAGAAAAATATTTGAGGCAATTTCATGTTTGGTCATTTTTCGAACTAGCGGTGGCTCAATATCAGTGTCAACATTAGTTTCAGTTTTCACTGGTTGATCCTTTGAAAGTAGAGAAAAGAGTTGGATCATAATGTAGTTATTCAATTGTGTGAAAAAACAAATAGCTCGAGGTTAAGAATAAGACATGGTTATGGTTCTCATGATTAAAAATCGCCAATTTATGCTATAGGGATGCCAGAGATTGGTAGGAGCGTAAAAAGAATGGTCAAGTAAATACTAGTAATATCTAATGGAGTTGTGTAGATGGACTTGATGAATGTACAATCTTGATATGGAGCTTTTAATTTTTAGCACATTTCAGATATGAAGGAGGAATAATTGAGTACGAATGCTTGTCTATCTCGATTTATTTCAAAACAGTCGAGTTGATTAGAGACTGAAGTGCGTATGTCGAAACCGAACGGAATGGACAAGTGCTGTAATGAGCAGTGATCACAAATATCTTAGGAGAGAGGAGACTTTTTGCAGATTTGATGGAGACATCACAAAGTAAAAAGTTTCTAAGATCTTTCTTCCGGACGATCCTTGACAATACTGATATTCGATCAAAAAGAGAAATGACGTCTTACTTTTATGAAGTCGTCATCCGAAACAGATGCTAGCATCAATTGTAATAGATCCATTCGGTCTGTATGACCCAATTCGATACGTTTCTTAATCAATTGTTGTGCCTGTTTCTCGATCCATGTTGATGGTTCATCGTTGATAAACCTTCGTGTCACAGGTAGATAATGACGAAGCAAATATCGAAGAGTATTATCGAATTGATAGAGTTTAATCCACAGCCATTTGAGTTCGGTGACGTATAAATACAAAAGAATTAGCTTAGTTATAGAATTCTCTTCGGTAAATACTTGTTGTGATTGGACAAGATAGGGATCATTTGGATTATTCTGCATGTCAGTATCGAGACCGAATCCACACGACCAAATTGTATCCATTGTAAATCGCTTAAAAAAGGCATAGATATCAAATGGTTTATGGTGACGATATTGATCAGTTAATTTTTCCATTAATACATCAACACTTCGATTGATCAACGGCGACATTTGTTTGAGCTTTAATGATGAAAATGTTGGATTGATGATGAAACGTTGTCGTTTCCAGCGAAGGCCGTGGGCACTAAATAGATGAGCATTTTTCGCGTTAGGATCCCTTATTGGAAAATCACGACGTGAATGGAAGTTAGAGAATGATTTAATGAATACATCTTGTAAAATGTCTGGATCGGATATGACAAGAATGGGTCTGTGTCCTTCAAAATAACCAAATATAGGCCCGTATTGATGAGTCCATTTTTTGATCGATAATGAAAATCGTTTGGTTTTCAGAGCATCCAACGTATTGCCAAAAAAAAATCGTGGTGAAGGTCCAGGAATGCCAAGACGAATGAAGAAATTATATGCTCGATGAACGTGCCAACCATAAAAGAAAATCAAGAGAAGCAATATAACAATGAGAATACTAGTTAGCATGGCGCACGCCACTCGACTGTATACTTGTTTTGATTGTGGCTCAGGTTATCAAACGAAAAATTGTCATGCTTCTTTTTTCTCTTTCTGTTTCTTATCTATATTTTGTTCTTTTCTGTCGGATCTGTTATCTTTCTCATTCTTGAGGGGATGAGGATGAAAGGGTACGTACTGCTACCATAACTAGTGTCACCTCAACAATGAGAATCATTGCATAATTTAATATCTTTATCTATGATTCAATGAAGAATCACAAAGATTCGAATTTTGCAATTGCTACATAATCTAATTCAATAAATCGATAAAAGATCGCGTGCTAGTCGAACTCTATCAAATGAAGTGATAAGATGAAAATCTTTTTACTATGTAAAAACTTATAGTACATTCTGATCATTAGCGTAACATAAAGTCATAATGACTTTCAACAACTTCAGAAATTCGATTGTTTCTGATCGTTTCCCTAACGTCGAATCGTGACCAAATTGTTTTTGAGCTGTTGGCAAGAGAAAACACTTATAAAATATTACACAGCATTTCTATATCTAGGTTCTCCTTAAAACAGACGATGCGACAGAAGCCTTGACTTGAGAAACAACCTTAAACATTGACTTTGATAGGATGCTTGATCGTTCACACGATCTTCTTTTTTCCTGACAAGTTCCAAGCTAACCCTTTCAGGGAATTCAGACAAATAGTAGTTTTTGTCGGAAAAGCCTGCTTGATTTCAGTTCATCACTTTGGAATCTTGAGCCCATTTTAAATAATTCTTTAAGCCCGACAAATGTTGAAATAAAAAAACAAATTCGTACCGCTGGTGTACGAGCAAGACTCTATGTCAGAGCTAATGATAAACAATAACACTGAAGGAATGAACAATGGTTCTGATCCTACTAGAGCGGAGACTTTTGTTCAATTTATTATTCCATTAATCATAGTCAAAGCTAAAATTATTAGAAAAACACATGGAAAATTAAAAGATACATGATAGTTTTTTTTTTTCATTGCTGATTTTTGTTTTATTCTGTTTTTTTTTTCTTTCTAAAACACCAGTGTCTTCTTTCTCTTCTTCTATCAATGCCAAACTCATGCATACGTTTAACAAGCAGAATAACATCAAACATAAATAAAAGAATACATGATAAAAATCGTTTTGCTGTTGTAAATAACAATTGAGAAAAGAAAAGAATGAAAATTAATAAATATCAAAGAAAACAAACAAAAACCCCACTGAACTAAAAAAAAAAACAAGGACAAGTTGAGCTTTATGACCGTTCTTTCACACTAAGAATAAGACAAGAGCACCAAAACTAACAAATAAAAATGAAAACAAAAAAAAAAAATCATTCTTCCGTACTACAATAATTATCTGTTAAGTTTATAAATATAAATAGTTTCTTTGTTTTTTCTTGTAATCGAAATAAGAATAAATATGTCGAAAAGGAAGAAAACAAAAAAGTTTATATCAGCCAAGAATAAAATTGCTCATATATATGGGTGTTTTTTAAAACACAAATGTAAGAATTCTATGGACAAAATTTAAGTTTGTACTGGAACAATAGGTTGAGAAGATTGAGGTGGAGGTCGTGGACGACGATAAGTATTTGTTGTTTTACTGTTATTAGGTAAATCTATACGATCATTAATCTGTTTTGGACCATTACGACGATTATTACCATTATGATAATTAAATATTGGACCTGAACGTTGTAAATTACCTTGAGAATATTGTTGTGTTCGACGACGATTAACATCTAGAAAAACAAAAACAAAAAAAATTAAAATTTCCAAAAGCGACTGCTTTTTTTTTGATATTTACTTGTATCATTATAATATTGAAGAGAACCATTAATTTGTTGTGAAGAATTAAAATGTTGATGATAATCACCGGTAACATAACCATTTGTAGGAATATTAATAATTTCACCATTTAATTGTTGATTATTAATAATTCGTTGTGGTAATGGTTCTTGTTGTTTATTAATAAAATCAATTTCATTTGATGAATGTGATATTGATGGTATACGATTACTTTTCTTTGATATTTGTATTTTTTCTGATGTTACATCGGATATTTGTTTTTCTATTGTTGATGTATTTGTTTCAATAAATGCAGATGATATTGATGCCAAACGTGTTCGTTCAACTGGTGAAACATGACCAAAATTTTTTAATAAATCTATTATTGTTTGATCATATTCAAAACGATGTGATGTTGTTAATTCTTCACCAAGATCATATCGACGATCAGTAACAAATTGTTTAATATCATGACGAAGATTATCTATTTCAAATGGTTCAAGACGATCACAACGATCAATACGTTGACGTAATTCAATAGCACGTTTTTGTCTATTATGTATGATATTTAAACCATGTTCTTTCACTTTATCCATTTCTAAATAAATTTCAACTTCACGTTGTTTAAGTATTTCATGTATTTGTTTAAATATATCATCAATACGTTTTATTGATGATTTTATTTCATTATTAAATAATATTTCAACATTTGTTAATGTTGATGTTTGTCGTTGAAGATCTTTAACTGATTTTGTAAGTACTAAAATATCAAAAAGAAAAAACAAAAATTTAAATTCTTTTAAAGAATCTCAATTAAGTAACAAAATCAGAAACGTAACCAGGAATCTTCCAAAGATATATAGGTGTAAGACTATATATCCCTAAAGACACAGAGATATAAGCCTACATAGTCTTATACCTGTATCTCTACATATGTTATCTAAAGAGGCTTGCGGGTTCAATTTTGTCGGAAACTCAAATTCATGAAAAAACAATCTCTTTTGAAAGTATTTTTACATTTTTTATTATTAGCCAATTTTGCTACTGTTGTTGGTTGACTATTGGTAATTGTTGATGGTTCATGATTTTGTATTGTTGATGAAATTGAATCATCATGATTTTCTATATGACTTAGAAGTTGTGATTTTTGTTGTTCGATTGTTTCATCATGAGTTATTGTTAAATCTAGAAATATGATATTAATTAATAAAAGAAAAAAAATGAATGTTTTTTGTTTTTTACCATGATTATTATCAGATTGTTCAATAAAAGATGATGATGATATTGATGATGGTGAACAAGCAGTTGTATTAGACATAGTTGTACTTCCTAAAATGAAAATTTTACATAACAAAAAAACAAAAAATTCTTTTTCTCTGATGAAAAATTTATTTACCATTAGTAGTTATTGTTGGTATACCACCTATAGCAAATGTTTGAAATAAATTTGATACACGTTGTGATGGTCGTAAAATCCCATTGGACGGAGGATTTTGTAATAATGAATTTGTAGATAATGTCGATGGTTTATTATTTCTATTTCGAGTATTATCATTTGTTCGTTTCGATGAAGTCTATAATAAATAAAATAAATAAATTTTATTTTGAAAAGAAAAAAAAAAGAATATTTACATTTCCTCGACCATTACCCATTTCAGTCCAACCACCGAGAGCTTCAATTGCACCATCTTAAAATAGATATAATTTAGTTTTGAAAAAAATAAAAATATCAATTTTTTTTGTTTTTTAACATACTTCTTTTAAATGCTTCAACGGTTTCGTCAATATTTAATTCATAATAAAGTAAAGCTAGTTCAATTTTTTCACGTGAAAGATCAGATAAATGTGGTAATCGAGAACGAACAGCGATGACATTATCACGCATAGAACTTTTTCGTGGCATTATTCTTTGTTTTTATGTTTTTTTTTTTTTACAAATATCTAAGACATATATATAGAGAGAGAAACGTATGGTAACAAAAACAAATTTCGTAGTCGCAAAATATATGAAGTACTTGAGACAAAAAAAATAAAAATAAAAACATTCAGTGATGCTTGGATTTCACCTTTAAGAACAAATTTTAATATATGTACAAATATTAATTGTGAAAAAACAATCTACTTCTATATTGTTTATTTTCAAAGTGAAACATCAATACTGAATGATGAATATTGTGTAAATAAAAAAAAAAAGAAAGACGAAGAAAAAAATAACTCATAAACATTTTCATTATTTTAATAACATTAAAAATCAAAAAAACATATTCGAAGTCAGAAAAGTGCCTACTTTTTTCTATGAATTAAACATGATGCATTTTATATATTTGTAACGACGAAAATGAAATACAAAAGCAAAAAATGTATATGGAATGTTGAGTAGGATGATGTGGGACACATGTGTTACTATGCGTAGGCAACTATACAAAAATGCACTAGTAATATTAGTACTTAAAAAAAAAAATAACAGAAACAACAAAATGAAGAAAGTCTGTATGAGTACTTCGAAAAAAAGAAATAGAAAACATGCAGTTTTTGTATGAGAATTATTCAATAAAGATGTTAAAAAAAAAAAAAAAGAAAATCTGTATCTATTTAACGTGAATGATAAAAAATATATCGAATCAAAAGCAGCGCAAGTTTGTTATTATTTTAACTAAAAAAAGAAATCTAGTTGTATTTAACTCTAGTGTATTAGATTTTGTCGAGAAGAATTTGCTTTACAATTCAACGAAGTTTGTAAATATTCATTTGCATTTATTATGTGTACTTAAAAAACCTGC